TCCGCCCCGCGCGCGGGCGCCGCCAGCAGCTGCTGAGCAGACGCGAGCCCGGAGTCAGCCCGTGTCGGCCGCCCCCCCCTTCCTCCTCCTCCTCCCCCCCGGCCCCGCGGGTGGCACAAGTTGGGGCCCGGGGGCGGCGGCGCGCGGGGACACTTTGCAAGGCGGCGCTGGGGGGCGGCGGGAGCCGTGGGCAAGCAGCAGCAGCCACAAGGTGCGGCGGCAGCCGGGACTGGAGGAGGAAAGGAGGGAGGAGGGGCGGCGGACAGCACTTTGCGAGCTCCGCAAACTCCTCCACACCCCCCGCCCCGCTCCCGGCTGTCAGGCGGAGCCCGCACGGCGCTGCCCCCTAGCCCGCGGCTGCCCCTCGCTCCCCCCCGCCCACGGGGGTGGGCATCCAGCAGCACGGGCAGGATGCGGCGCTGCGAGAGGACAGCGAGGGGGGCTGAGCGCCCATCCTCCCCGACACGTGCGCGGGGGGACCCCCCTCCCGGGCCCGCGGCTCTCGCAGTAGGGCGGCGCTGCCGGCGGGGCGGCTCCGGCCTCACCTCGTCCCCTCCGGCTCCGGCATGGTGCTCGCTGAGGGAGCCGGGGAGGCTGTGCCCGTGTGAGGCGGAGGCGGCGGCGGCGGCGGGTCCGGCGCGCAGCGCTCCCGCCCGGCTCCTCGCTGCAGCTCCCCGGCAGGAGGGGGTGGGGGATGCCGAGAGCCCTCCCCGGAGCGGAGGCAGGCGCCTGCTCTCCAGCCGCGGAGTGATGAGGAGCAACAACCCCCCGGCCGGAGAAAGACCCCTGTGGTGCAGCTGAGGGAGCCGCTTGCCCGTGCCCCGGGGAAAGGAGGGAGCTAGCGCTGTGGCCGGGCCTCCTTGGCTATCCAGGCACCCCATTCCCCCTGCCTGGGCCCTCCTTTCAGCACCGGGGTTGGGTCCTGTCCCCACTGCATCCCAAAATCCAGGTGTGACTTGTGCCACCTGAGTCGGGGGGCACGTGCCCCCCAGCGGCCAGTCAGTGACCAGTGCGGTCCCCCCTCTGCCCATCTCGCCAACCGGGAAGTGTGAGTGGCAACCCGGGAAGTGCCAGCAGCAATTCACCTGGTGGCCCCACTCCCTGGCCGGCGCTCGCAGGGAGGGAGCTCCTGCCTGCCCCCCCCCAAACTGTCACCTAAGTGGGGAGCACTGCCTGTCAGGGGGTGCACCAGCGCTCTCAGGGGGTGCACCATTTCCAAAATTACCCCCGCCTGCATAGGCTGCAGAACAGGGTGGTCGGGCCATGGCCCGACCAAATTTTAGCGCGTTAATGTCTATAACCCACAAACGCACAATTGTCATTCCAGTTAAAAACTGTACAGCTGTTTTTTTGTTTTTAACGGCACAGCTAGCTGAATAGCAAGCTACGCTGCCGCTTCGTTTGTGCCCCTGACATGACGTTTCTGAGCGATACATGTCGTTAGGTAAGTTGCCTGTGTGTACATCTCAGCTAACGTAGCAAAAACATGTTCAGGACGTCGGAGGGGGAAAAAACATAAAGCAAGGGATTGGCAGTGAGAGCTGGGGGTGGGGGGCAGGGGTTGGTTGGTTTGTTTGCCCCCCGACCAAAAAGGCATTCCGTAGCCCCTACCCACCTGAATGGGACAGATGCACCCCTAAATAAACGGGTTGAGAGACGCTGCTGTCCCCAGGGTCAGTTCGGACATGGGAATAAGAGGCTTGCCCTGCTCAAGAAACCCCTCATTCCAAAGGAGAGACCAGCTAAAGAAAGACTTGGGCAGAGAGAAGGGGGAGCCGTCTGTGGAACAGGCCACATTTCCCTCCCCCAAACTCAGTCCTGGGCTCATCCTGGCCATTCCCTCCGCTCCCCCCCTAAACTCATCCCTGGGCTCCCCCCATCTTGGAGGAGGAGGAAAGCTTTAAATTTACAGGGGAGATAAAAGTTTTTGGGACAGCCTCTCAGCTTCTTTACAAGTCCCAGTTTTCAACCTTCCCATAACATGCCTCCCTCTCCCTGTATGCATCTACAGTGCGTCTCTTCTAGGTAGGCTTTTTTATAGAAAAGTGTGATTGTCCATAATGAGCACAAACTCAAGCCTGTGTTAAAAAGGCCACTGGGTCAGTTGTTCTTCCTTTTTTTTATATCAGCCACTGAGCCAGTGAACAGGTTCCTGTTTAGTTTCTGGAACTGCAGGTGTAACTCCTGCAACAAGTCAGCCGACTCTTCCTCCCTGTGAACACTGGGCATTTCAAGTTGCTGAAGGTTTCACTGGTGGAACTGAAACAGGAACCCAGAAGCATGAACTAGGGCAGATTCAGCTAGAAAGGAAGGCTCAGTTATACTGGCTTGAGGGGGAGGGTGTAGGAGGAAGAAAAGTTCCTAGGAGTGATTTGAAATGCCTTTTTCCGTCCTCCAGATTTGGAAGGAGTCCCTAGCTCTCTCCTTGTGTGAGGTGACATTCTTTGCTATGTCTTGCCACAGAAGTGTCTGCTGCAGAAAAATAGTTCCTAAATGTACATGAGAGAAGCAGCTCTAAGTGTCTTTATTTGACAAGAAGGTGGAGACCAAAGGAAAAAAAACCCTCCACTGTAGAAGAAAAGCCCAGAGATTTCAAGTAAGAATCTGCCATGTCACAAACAGTCTGACCTGCTGTGGGTTTTCTGAGTTCTTTGCAACAAAAGACTTGCTCTATTATTCTTCCATAGCCACACACAAAAAAGTGAAAGCTAAAAACTGGCCTGTTCAGAGGGGCGCACCGAGTCTAAAAAGGTGGAGAACCGCTATTACAGAATCATGATTCTCTAGTTTAATGAATATTCAAGTCTTTTAAATTTACACCTCCTCTCTGAGTCAATGAATAATGTGCTATTTTAAATACCAAGGGGAACAGCATCAACAGGAGGTACTGAGGGCAATCCACCCAAGTATAACATATAGCATGGTGTTTAGGGCACTCTCCAGAGTTATGAGTTCAAATGTCTTTAGGCAGAGAATTAAACTGAACCTGGGCCTCCTGCTACATAGTTTGACCCCTGTGTAGGGGCTGCTTTTCCTCTGTTCTGTAAAAATATCCAGAAAGACTGTTGTTTTTTCCCCCAGCCTAACTGCTTTGACAGATTTGAGTTGGAGTCATAAATAGATTCTGGGTAATCAAATATCACATGTTTCAGTTTAATAAACTAAAAAATTCCACCCAACTCTAAATCAACAAGACTCAGCTTCTGAACATACGTTTGTTGTTTATAAAAAAATGAAATCTTCAGCTGTTATTGCTGAAGACAGAAACAGGTAATTCAAAGCTAATAATGTAGTGATGTCTGCCTTGATTTATAGAACATCCAAGAGGAGAGGTACACACTTAAGATATTAGCCATTCCACCTCTTAAATCAATAAGAAATCAGAGAGAAGCTATCTGATCAAGATTTGTATAGTCTGAGAGTTGTACTGTATTTACTTGAATCCATTCAACATATGGAGAAAAAACCTTCATCTTGGATTTGAATACAAGGCTGGAAAGGCAAGTGGTTGCTGTGGCTCCAGCCCAGCCTAGGCTTGGAGTCAAGTCACAACCACTGCCCCCACCCTCCAACCCCACATGCCTAACCTGCCACTGCTACTTACAGGAACCAAGTTGTGAATCTAGTCCCTGCCTTCCCAGGGAGCAGTAGTGGCAGTCCTTCCTTGGCAGTAGTGGCAGTCCTTCCTTGGCTTCAACCCTGCGGCTGGAGCTGCAGTTGCCACTGCATGGCTGGATGGGAGCCAGAGCTGGAGCAGTGATTGAGGGTAAACAGCAGGGGGAGGGCAGGTGTCAGGGAGGCAAGTGTCAGAGGCCAAGGTGCAGGGCAAGCATTGCAGAGGGGGCAGGCAGTAGGGGAGTCAAGTGGCCTGACCCCTGTCCCTTGCCCCTTTAAGCTTGCCCCCTTGCTGCTACTTGCCTTCCTGACACTACCTGTCCCACCGCAGTGGTGCGGAAGGATAAATTTGAGACAACTGTCCAATAATTATATTCTGTGCATGGAAATGTATGACAAATTCCTAAATTTCCTATGTATACAATCTAATTATTGGAGTGTCATCTTAAATTTGAAGTTGTCTTGGCTTTGAGAAAATGTGTCATCCCAATTTTGCACTAAGTGGGTTTGGAAAATCTGACTGCTTCCTCTTCCACAACCCCAAATCACACATCCTTTCACAGCCTATCAGGGCTTCCGAGACAACCAAGGGCCAAAGGGAAGTCAAATTTAAGAATCCCAGTAGGACATGTGATCCACAAAGAGAATTCAGGTGGGGGCCCATGGAGGAAAACATGAATGGTACTATCTGAATATCTGCATGCTTTGATGAACAAACACATAGCTGGATCTTCAATAACGTCTATTTTTCTTTCTAATCTGCTGTCATCACACTCTCTCTGCCTCCCTTCAGAGGAGAGAGTAAACTGAAGTTTTCATTAAAACAGATAGGACCTGGCAGGTGGCACTGCTGCTGTACAATAGTTCATATGGCAGCATGCACTGATCATCTTGACCAAGACTTTGCACACTGGTTTAATTAGTCTGAATAGTACAGATGAGCCCTAGTTTGGTGGTAGCTTTTACCCAAGGAAATTGTACTCCAACGGGCATACTCTGTTGCAGGAGCTAAATGCTGCATCTGTGAAATCACAGAAGACAGGGAATCTGGTAGTAAGGAACACTGTTACAGCCTGCAAAGAAGAACTTGATTTACTACAGTTTGCTTCAAATAATGAATTAATCCAGTAGAGTTATGACTAACAACCTATATAAAATTGTGACTAAAGGAAATGGGAGGGGAAAGATCATTGTTTGCAGTATTTAGCCCCAAATGATCCTTCCAGTCATGAGAGAGGGAACTGACCAGCCTGTTCCCATGTCTTGCTGCAGCCTGCCTTATTTGAAAAAAAAAGAGGAA